TCAGAGAGAAATCGTGATCGCTCGACGTACTTGTCTGTCTCTCCACGGCTCTCAGTGACTTGCATGCCGTCATTTTGCTCTGGATGTCGTGTTTTTTCTCAAAGTAGTCGACCAGCGATGTTTCTGTCAGGAACGATGCTAAAACCTGCTCGAACGTGATCGACCAATCGGCATCCGGCGCGCTGCCCCGCCTCCGATCCACCGCATCTCCGCTCATGCAGCCAATCAGGACCGTGTCGTCGGCGATGTCCTCGCACTGCAGCGAACCGGCGCTCACTACGGAGTAGGACGAAACGGACGTGTCGTCTTTGGCCTCTTCGTCGGAGCCGGCCGTTGTTGGAGGTGGCGTCTCTAGCTGTGCCTCTGCCAGGGCCTTGGAGACCAGGGACTGTCCTGATCCTCCCTCCCCGGACGAGTCCTCCCTCTCCGGCTGCAGAGCGTCGCCTGCTGAGGGCAGCTGGGCTTCGGTTTTCTTGCTGCCGTTGTTGGTGAATTTCTTGCCCACTTCTCCGATGTGCAGCAGGAGACTCGCCACCGTGGCGATGCCGTGATACAGCTCCTGCTCCATGGGATCTTCACTGAACATGTTGTAGAGAGTCTTACACATCTCAATGAACTGCTCCTGTAATTGTATGATTACAAAAATGTGTTTTAGTCTTAATACTTGTGTTCCATAGGTCAAAAACACTGAAGTACTAGGTTGCTACTTAATAAATGAATCCTGATTTGAATAAATTTAAAAAGGTTATACGTCTGTGTGTGTATATATACATATATATATATCAATTTTTTTAATCTAACACTCAATACTTCATACAGTGTATTTCATAAATAACTTTAGTTTATTAATTGTTAAAATGGTTAAAGATAAAAATAATGTTCATTTCAAAATATAAAATATAATTAATTTTTTGCATTTATAATGTTAATAACATAATGAATTGTTAGTTTTAATAATTATATACAAATATATATGTAATGGTTATCATATGTATCAGTATCATTGGGTCTCAATAGTACATGAGGGACTCTAATCTAAAACTAAGTAGTACACGAGGGACTCTAAAACTAAACTTTTCTCCATATTTACATTACAATTTTCCCATTTCAGCTTTGTAAGAGTCTGAAAGCACAAATTTTATAGGTCAATGGCTACATTTAAATGCAGCTGTTAATAACCATT